GTACCGTAATTTTCGGACTATAATGCGCACCGTTATATAAGCCGCAGCGTCGAAAAATGGGGAAAAAGGCGCGGCTTATAGTCCGAAAATTAAGTAAGTCCTGCATTATAACAGTGTCTAATTACTATCAGGAAAGTTGCTTCAAAATTGTAATCCATTACAATTAATAGTTACCTGTAAACACTTTTATCGGTAACCAAACCTAAGCATCACAATATAAAAGTAATTATTTTATATTGTTAGTTACTTTTGGATTATCTGTCAAATGCAACTGAGCAATGTAAACTTGGATTTTATTCGGCATATTCAGGCAGTAGCCAATAGAATAATGAAAGTGCACATGAGCACATACTATAGTATAAAAGAAAAATAAATAAGAATAAAATCTGAGAGAAAATGTTGTGTTTAATTGCATAGAGCTAAGATATCACACACTATTTAATGAACATTAAAAAAACAAATACTTTTTTTTTTATTGTAACATTATAATCCTGATAGTAATCCCATTTATTTAGTAATGTGACAGTTATCAGATTACATCTGTTTTTAGGTAACTGAATGGGGAATACCATTAACTTTTTTTTCTAATCCCGATTACGCAATCTGGTTACATGTAATCCCCCAAACCTGATTACTATTAGCAAAATTGAAACTATCATAAAGTTTTAATAATGCAAAGAAATATAAAATAAATCTACATTTTACAATGTATTATTGAATATTTATAACTGAAGCAATAATAGTAATAAGAGGTAAAGTGAAGCTACATTTTCATCTGACTGGCAGTAAAATCAAAGTTTGACATAGCACAACATGCTAATACCAGAGTAGGGTACAAATCCCTGTAAACTGATTTAATCCATTATAAAAACAGAAGAACTTCCTCAGGATTCAGATCTGTAATGAAGCCATATATTTATACAACAAATAAAATGATAGGACTTCTCTTCTCTCTCTATCTCCTGGCATCCCCCCCTCCCTGCATTTGGTTGCATGTTTATCACCACAAACCATATCTCGTTTTTTTGCCACACTATTTACTCATCTGATCCCATTTCACTGGGAGCCATGCATGTGACATTTCTGTGTTGTTGTTGCAAAGATAGCAACATCTCAGCAGATAGTCATGCTGCACCTCCATCAGATGATACCTCAGGTGGTCAATAATTAAACAAATAATTCAGAACTGTTAATTGGCGTCAGACATAAAGCCGTACCTGTTACTGTGTACATAGCGACTTTAACAACAATGTGTTTGTTGCAATTAAACACTGAGGTAGATTGGATGCGACAGTTTGAGCAGGTGTTTGAGTTAGAGTTTTTTCTTCTGGTACTCATGTTGATCCTTGTGGGCAAGAAAGAACAACATCGCGTTAAGAATCCATACAACAATGGCTCTAAGGATTCATGTACTTGTTTTTAGTATTTGAAGTGCTCGACAGGAATCCAAAGGACTTCTGACAACAAGATTGTTGCTTGTATTGATTGTTTTTATCGCCTTCTTTAGAAAAATACCTAGAGAGCAGAAGAGAGAAGGTACAGTTTGCCTGTGAATGAGTACTGAATGAGGGATTCTGTAACAATAATGTCCCTGGCGGTCTCTTCACGTTCAACTCAGTTTTAGTCATGATGAAATTCTGATGAAATCACACTGGCCCTCTTTGGAGAGATCAGAGACTAGTAAAGTACTAGGTCTGTTATTTTAGAAAAAAACAATACTATGTAATAAATACTCCATTACAGGTAAAACAATCCTGCATTAAAACATTTACATATGATTAGCGAGATACTTAAAGTATCATAGAGGGTGATTCATTTGGATTGTTATATTTTTGATATGAATCGGTGAACAGCGGCATTTTATTGTTATAGCTAACGTAGAGCTAATTTCAACCAATAAGCTAGCCAGTGGCCCTTTATCTAAAAAGTAACTAATATACATATAGTAATTAATTGCAGTGGATTAAAAGGAACAATATTTTCCTCTCAAAAGTAGTGAAGTAAAAGTATAGAACAGCGTAAAAAAAGGAAAAATAGTTCAAAAGAGTTCAGTGAATCTTTCTACCTCTGGATGAGATCCATCGTGGCGCAATCCTATTTCAAATTCATGTCCAGCTAATGTGGTTATTTACCTTGAGAGTCCCCATGCACACGGCCTATTTAATGACTGGAAATGTCGCACTCCTAATTAAAAGTACACCTGTGGCTTCCTGCGCCCGGTGGGGAACACTCTCCATCTCCATACTCTAATTTGCCAGAGCAATGGCCAGCTTGTCTGAGTGCCAATCAACAAAGGGCTTGATTTGCACATGTTATTTGAGGACAGAAGCCTAGCCATTGTTTTTGGGGCCACAGGTAGTGCTCAAAATTGCATGTTTTCGATATTTAAAAATTAAACCTCATTTAAAAATGGTACATAAGCCTGCTGTTGGTCCTGGTGAGGGAATTAGCGTATCCAGACTTTAATGTCAACGATTTAGAGACGTGATGATTTCTGCATCCAAAATGCTTAACATTTAATATGATTATTTGATTGATTTTATATATCCATCAACTACTGATCCTAAAAAGTATAAGTTTGGGAAATATGCCGATCCTTTTTTATGTTAAAAGTTAGATAAGAAGAAGGAAACCATGTTCATTCAAGTTACGGCCAGCAGCTACTTAGCATAGCTTAGCTTAACGAAGAGTAGAACAAGGGGGTAACAGTTAGCATAGCTGTGTCGGACAGAATCTACGTAAAAAGCATCCTCAGAAGCTCACTCATGTGTTAGGCTATAGCCTGTCTTGTTTGTCTTGATCTTAAAAAGAAAAAAACTAGTTGCAGTTCTACACAAGCTACGATCTAGAAATACATGGATTTCTTAGCTTACCCAGCAACTGTTGTTTTTAGATTTAGTTTTTTGAGCGGATTAAAAAAACATGATGTAACATGTTAATTACTGAATTTAAAAAGGGTGGTAAAATAATGGTGTTACATTTATGACAGAGCCAGGCTAGCTGTTAGCATTTTCAGTCATCTAAGCTAACTGGCTAGCTTCATAGACAGCAGTATTGATCTTCATCAACTCTCTTATATTCACAAATCGTTTAAGTATTCTTTTTATATGTCTTACAAAGTATTTGAAGCTTATCAAATATGCAGTCCAGCTATACAAAGCTCTACGTTAGGAAGAGTTTTGACCCAAAGTTAGTTAGTTACAAAGCTCACAACTTATTAAAAGAAAATTGGACTAGTGTCTGAATCTGGCTCAAGCATCTCTGCTGTGTGCAACTCACCAATGTGTTTTACATATATGTCTAAAATTCCTGCAGCCGGCTCCAAATGAACGATTCTCACAGCTCCTGAAATATGCAGAGGCATTTTCTGTAATACAAAAATCAGCTTTGACTTGATAGAATGCACATTTCTGCATTTCCCCTAAGGCATCTTGGGGAAAGTAATTAAGCAAAGGACCCCTTTGTCTTCAGAATGCTTTTCGAGTCATTTGATCGCAGGATAAGAAGACTATCTGTCAAGAGGAAAGCTTTCATGTAGTATTGAGTGTGTTGACTTTTTTTCCCATATCTATTGTTCTTCTAGACATTTTCCTCAAAAGTTTTCCCGTGCTTCCGGGAGAGCTGAAGGACAAACTGTTCGTCATTAACGAGGAAGATGGAGGCCTGTCTGATGGGCAAATCACGTCTCTGAGGAGGTATGACTTTGTGCCAAAAAGCGCTGATTGGTATTCATTCCTGATATTGTCACAACTGGAGCCGAGAGGTGAATGGCATTTCGCCGCACGGTTAATGGGCGGTTGATGTGTGAGAGACAACAGCTTTGAAAAACTAGCCGCTTAGCAACTCAACAAGGGATGTGAGTGCAGTCAGGACAAAGTGAGAAACCACTGCAGGTCATGTGAGGAGGAGGCTCATGGTTTGCACAGCTGCCTCCACAATGTTCTAATACTAAAGAGCAGATACATACATTTTTTATCTCCGGTTATTTGCGGAGATGGAAACTATTGACATGCCCGCGGGAATATATCACTTGAAGTGGGTAAATGCTTCCTGACTGGTTTCCGCAGCGACTCTTGGGTGCTGACCTCCTGGAAGGAGAGTGATCTAATGCACTGTGTGGGGGGCTTTATTTATTCTATAAAAACATAATATATATTTTAATGTGCTTCGGCGTGGGCCTGAGGAATACAATTTTGAAAGAACCACTCCCAACAGGTGCTGCAATATTAATGGCTGTTGCTACTCCAGTTGCTCATGAAAAAGTGAATGCCTTTTGCTTTGAGGTCAGAACGCACAGAAATGTCGGAAGGAGGAAGTCCAATTTAAGAGGGGTTCAAAGGCAGTGCGAGTGAGTAAATGGCCGTTCCCAGCGTCTTGTTGTTTTTTAGAACTACTTGGCTTTTAATCACGCCCCACTATCTGGGCCACTGGAAATAAATGTAATGGCATCAGTTTAAGGCGGGGAGGTAAAGAACATGTGATGACAGAAAGATGTGAAAAGGGGAAGGTATGTGCTACAAAAATAAAAACCTCCCCAACTGTCACATGCATTTTTAATATGTAGGTTTTTATTTTAACTGTTGGATATACAAGGAGCGATATACTTTACATGGACTCAGAACCACATAGCTTAAATGTATTAATCAGCCTAAAATAGCAAGCAGATAAATACCTAAACTTCATATATAAATATAAAATTAGCTACATTTTTAAAAACAGCTAAACTTTTTATGCAGAGGTTATCAGGGGGGCAAAGCAAATAATTAGGAAGTGGTTTTCCTGTATTTTGTTTTAATACTATTACTTATTAAAAAGCAACAACATTCTATTATATTTACAACTTAAATGTCTTCAAGCTGTAGAAATCCAACTCCCGAAAAGTTATGATAAACAAACAACAAGAGACTAGTTGGTAAACAAAATGGAGCAATTAAATATTTGCAGACACTCGTTGTAAGCAGTGGATGGGAAAGAACATGTAGAGAGCCTTAAGGTATTAAAAAAACTAGTATGGAATCTAACAAGAATATTAAAATTGTAATGTTTTGTTTCAAGGTACGTCCCCACGTTGGATGATGTGGAAATGTACAAATCCCACAAAGGACCTGTGACAGAGCTGCATATTGTGGACCAGTACATGATGGAGGTACAGTTAATAGCTACTAATATTAACAAGGCTCAAGATTATCATAATTAACAATGTTATCAGGATTTGATGTGAACAGGCTGACTCTAAAGCAGCTCTTTCTCTTATGGCACTTTCTTATAAAAAAAAAAAGAGTGGTTGAATCGACAATGCACCTGCCTCTTCTTTTTCTGTGGGTGTCGTGACAAGCTCTTACCGTTCATGTGTTATCACCTGCTAGCATGCAGCCTTCTGACCGTGTGGTCGGATCCAGGCTGCAGGAGGGAGGCAGATGAGCAGCAGGATCAGCCCACAGTGCCTCAGGAATATTTGACACTTGTCATAAGGCATTGCCTATAGAAACCTTGTGTAAGGCCGGAGGCAAAAGGATTTGGTGCTGGACTGCAGTCGACCTGAATTACACCAAATAGACCAAATAATCAATCATCTTAGGCATTCAGGTGTTGCACTAAAAAGCAAGAAAAATGGTTACCAACTTACAGTAGGTGATTACTTACTCCTTTAGGGGGTTTTCTTTCCACATTATATGTAATTGTCAGTTGCTCCACACATTTTCTCCCAAAAACTCTATGAATAATGAAAAAAGATGACTTTTTTTTTTATGAATCATCAAAGATTGACATGTGTTAGCATCCTTATCACTTGGAGTAAGTGAGTGAGTGTATCCTCATCTGCTCTCAGCTTCTCACTGCATAGGATAGTGTGTCATATAACCAACATGCATTTTTTATCATCATGATCACCATTTTCAACAGAAAATCATTATCCCCGGATAATGAATCAGGCTGATAGGTGATCCTATGTCTAGTATTCTATCTAGCGCCCAGTCTTTAGCAAATGTTAGAACCCTAACACGCTAAATTGTGATGGTGAACCTGGTAAAAAGAATACCTGCTAAACATAAGCATGTTAGGATGTTTTGGGATATAAGCACAATGCTTACCTCAGGGTTAAGCCAAAGAAAGAATCCTCACTGCTGGCATGGCTGTAGAGAGTTGAATACACATGTTTTTTTATTCTAAGTAATCACTTTTACAGAGAGCACACAACCGTAACATCTCAGAACAAATGTCGTAACATTAAAGAAGAACTGACCTTTTCCCTGAGATAAATCTAATCCTAATAATGCTTTGCAGGCTTCTCTGAAAATATTACACTACACTGTATATCAATCAATCAATGTTTATTTATATAGCCCAATATCACAAATGTTACTTTTGTCTCAGTGGACTTCACAGTTTGTACAGAATATCAGTATGACAATACGACACCCTCTGTCCTTAGACCCTCACATCGTACAAGGAAAATATTAGGTCTTTGTTTGTTCTTTAATCCTGCCTGTCATGCTTTCTCTGGAAACTTCAATATCATGTGCAGAAATCACACAAAAGAGTATTCCTTTTTAAATCTGAAATCTAGTGAACAGGAGTCTCTGATCCAGGTTCAATTATGCAAACTACTCGACTTATAAGTGAACACTTGAAACTGTACATGTTTGCCTTAGCATGGAGTCAATGTGAACAGTTCATGCTCAATTAGACATTTTAAAGACAAGGCGCATTGAGCAGGGTGGCATTCTGGGATTTCATTTTATTTTGTGGAAATAGCCAAATGATCACATGAACTTGATTCCTCACACTCATCCTAATATCTCTCCTGAGAATATGTCAATCAAAAGTGCCCTTTGGCTTTTAGGAGACGCTCTCTGAGCTTGAGCGAGATGCTCTGACAAGGCGTAATGATTTATTAGAGGTTAGCCCTGACTCAAAGGTTGACTAGGCAGCTCAGCCAATCGCTTCGAGGTGTCAGGCCTTCACTTTCTCTGTTAAATCAGCCTTTCGACAGGCCTGCAGCTCTCCACTTTAGCCCGAGGTAATCTCACCAAAGACTCTGTGAGAAAAAGTCGCAGCGACATCATCTCCCCTCAGTATCTCCCTGCTTTTTCGATAATAATAACATGGAAATGGGTTGTGTGATGATGCGATAATTGCACTCTGTTCTGTATGCACACAGCTCATTACACTCACTTCTTCTCCCCCGCTGCAGATGTGCAACATCCCGTGTCTGAGCACACAGCTCGACCTGCTGCTGACTCTGAGAGAGCTTCCGATCGGCATGAAAGACCTGCAGCCAGTGAGTTTACTCCATCACCTACGGAGAGCAATCAAAAGGTTGAATCAGAGGTTGAGCTGTTTTTAAAGTCGGCTTCGTTTCCTACAAGCTGAAATTGGGTGAAACCGCACGGCACAGGAGGAGAACAAGTATATGCTAATGTATTCTAATGTTCAGATACATACAGGCGGAAAGTGTCATTAATACATGAAAGCCTTTCTCCCTCCTGTTTGAGATTTACGTTTGAAGTGGTGGATGAAGTGGTTTCTGTATTTGCTGGAATTGTAAAGTGTCTTGAAAACAGAAAGGCAGGACCGGCACTTTAAGACACCTCTCCTCGTGTGACTGAGAAGAACAGATGGATCTTAATCAAATCAAGTTTCACTTTTCTGTCGGTGGTGTAAATCATACATAGTTTTTTTATCGTTATCAGAAAAACCAATAAAAATCCACTTTGGAGTTTTCCCAGGGGAGAGCTGTGGAAATATTTCTTAATTTTACTTTATTCAACAAACTTCTGGACTCTCTTCAAAGACAATCACTCAAGCATGAGTACAGATAAAACAAATACACACCAAGTTACTATTTAAATAGATTTCTTAAACTTGACATTTGAAACAATGTTAAAAAAGGGCCCTATTCTACTTATCATATTTGTATGTAGTGTCTCTCCTGTGACATGTCTCCACTCTTTAATGTTCAAAAAGCTCTTTATTTTTCTCATACTGCCTGTGCTGCAGCACCTCTTTTCACCCTCTGTCTGAAACCAGAGCCCAGTCTGCTCTGATTGGTCAGCTGGCCCGCTCTGTTGATCAACCGCTTAGAGATGTCCCGCCCCTTAGCCTATCACGTACAATGTGTTGGAGCGCTAGCCAATAGAAGCGCAATTGTTATGTAGTGATGTCATTTTGTTTGTGAAGTAAACAAAGGAGTCCAATGGAGGCGTTTAGGCGGGGGGGAATGGAGTGAACTTTGCGATTTTAGCCTTTGCAGACCATTTACATGCACACTAACCTATAGAACAACCCCAAAAGGGCCCCTTTAAGGCTCGCACAGTGTATCCAGACATGTCCAGTTCAACATTAGTCAGACTAATCGTTAACGCTCGTGCAGAGGATTGTTGTTTATTGGCGTTGAGGACTGCAGGCTGTGAAGATATTGCAGTCAGACCAGAGAGAGTACCTCCCACCTCCTCAGCTGTTTCTTCTTTATTCTCTCAGCCTCTGTTCCTTTCTGCATCAGTGCTTCAGTCCTAATCTCTTGTCTGCTGACAGTTTGAGAATAAGAGGAACAAAGGATAAGAATAATGGCACTGTAATCCGTTGAAGGGGACAGTCATTTCTCTTTGTCTTAAACACAACATACTGTGAGCATGCAAGATGACTTGACAGGAAAGATTCGCTTTTTCATTAAGTTTCAATTTACGCATGGCTTTTTCTTTCGGATGTTGTTGCTCTTTCTGCTGTGTTGTGACTTGGATATATATTTAATAAGATTGTTCTTTTAATCAAACCATAGTTATTGTGTGCAGGAACAAAGTATCTTTCTTTCTGACATACGATCCGCATCACAATACAATGTTCAGGCATGAAAAAGTGAAGGTGCTTTGTTGCAGAAGATTCTAAATCGGTCAATTCTCTGACAGCAGACTTCTTAAGACCCGAACATTAAGGGGGATTTACTCGCCAGCAGACAGACATGAGGGCTTTAGGAGACAAAATGGAGAAGTCCCCACCTGGGGGGGATGTTTCTTACCTATGATGTACTCGTTGGTGCTTCGCCTCACTGTCAGGATGTCATGTTTTCTTCTGCATTGTGGATCTGGCTTCTTCTTTAAACTGTGCTCGGTGTGCAAGTATTTCCAAATATTATTCAGAGACGCAAAGACACAAAATCAAAGCAAGTGATTCTTAGACAAGGAGATCTCTGGACAGGGAGGTATGACTGGTAGAACCAAATATAACTTCATCAGCACATAGATATAAAGAACTCAAGTAAAAGTTGTACATGTTTGTCAAATAAAAAGAGATAACCAAACAATTAACGCAGGGAATCAATAGTATAGAATTATTCTTTATTGTGTCTTTAAAGTGAAGACCTTCATAGAATATAACAATGGCAATTTGTTCTATAATAATTAGGGATGCTCCGATTGATCCGCCACCGATCGTTATCGGCCGATATTCACTCTCTGCTGATCGATCGGTGCTCTCTAATAAAGGCCGATCGTGAGAGCCGATCACATGACGTAAAATACATGACGACGTTGCTAGCGACAACTTATACCTAGCGGATAATATTTTTGCGACTTTTCTGTTACTTCGACCCATAAAATCCAAAACGGTACGAACATGCCTGCTTTGTGTGTCGTGCAGCCACGAGGACCCTGAATAGTAAGCAACTGTACGGCAGTTTATTTCGAGGTACGGTCTGCGCGAGTGGTATACGAGTCGAAAATTCTGATTGGGGGTCTGTGATATCAGCCTGTGTTCTGTATTGGTCCTCTCTTTTACTCCATAGTGCGAAGAAGAATAGATGACCGAAACGGCCTTTGGAGACATGTGTAGGTAGCGGTGGATTCGAAACAACATCTTGTATTTATTCGGGTACAATTACATGGGACGATGTATGATAGATCAAAATTCCAATTTACAAAGGTTTTTAGCATTTCTGTCATTTAACCACGTATCCACTAGAGGCTAGCGGTTAAAACCCCGCTAGCCTGGCCCTTGCATAGCCGCTATGGCTGAGCGCGCTGGTTAGCTCACCGCGGCCCCGGATACCCCTAGAGGTAACATGTGTGAGAATGTGACCGCCGAGGAAGTGACCGGGGAAGGGTTTGTTGTTGGTTGATGGTAATAAGGTAAGGTTTACTGCATGTAATAAGTGCAAATGTAATTGAAGAACCTCTTATTGTGCCCTCTCGAGACTCGCCCTTCGGAGAGAGGGCTGGAGAGAGAGAGGACTGGGCGACAGTCATAGGAGGTACGGCAAGTGATTACGGTCATTAGCGCACTGGGCGGTCACTTGCTTATGTATACATATTGAGTCGAAATTCGAACGAAGTCTCCGCTAGGTGATCGATTGCAGAACAAGCCAGATTGAGAACGACACACAAAACACGAGCCGAGGGCCAGCAGTGCGCCCGCCTTCGACCGCTAAAGACGAAGGTGGCAACGTATGTGACAAAATGACAGAAGAACAGCCGTGAAGTTATGACGCCCGACCCACTTCGGAAAACCGGCTCGAATCGNCTGTACTTCCGCCACAAAATACACCAAAAGCAGCGAAGAAGACCCCCGAGCATGGTTGCCTGGTTGCCCTTCTGTTTATTCTCCGCGGTGGATTTAGCAACATGTAGTTCTCCATGTCCACTTGTTGCTGATGGTTGTGGTAGAGTAGCTGTAGATTTTGCACTAACATCTGTAGCATGGTCAGTAGCAAACTTTGATGTTTGTACAGGACAAACAAGATATAATGTGCTACTTAATGAGCTTTAGAAATGCCTTGGACACTGCAGGGCTGTTTCCTAATTGTTCCAGTCATGAGTATATTGATTCTCTCATGTAATTCTTGGCAAGAAAGCAAATTTGGGGTAAGACGAGAGAAGATGTCCAACAATATTTTCAGTAATGCACTGCAACACGTAGAGTGAGCCAAACAAATGCCAGTAAAGATGATGTCCATGTTTTACCTACATGGTAAAATCGTTTTTCTTTGTGTTAAGGTTGAGATAGGGGGAAAAAAAGTTTCTACTGTGGATCTACTGTATCCATTAGTATTGTGAAATTGAACTGATAATGATACAAATGTTTTATAAAATCCCATCTAAAACAACATATTGTGGGTTTGGGGATAAAGTGTCAAACTAATTCTTGAAAGTGAAGCATTCTTACAGTAAAATCCTAAATATTTCATTATTATTCCCTATTATTCAACATAAATCACTCCTATGTATAATTGAAAATGGTCAGGTGGTGTAATAGTATTGGCCTTTTAAAATTCAACAATTTGACCTTTAACTGTCCCCTTGCCTTCTGGCCAGGAGTTGTTTTTAATCATCTGGCTGCGGAGCCAAAAAACACCATTATTCCTGCATGTTTGAAATTAAATTTGCACCAGAGGATATATTTATTAGTCACGACCTTGTGAATCTGTGTGTGTGTGTGTCATAATGTAAAAATGTGAAGAAAAGCGGGAACTATGACAGGAAATGTGTACAAACCACATACATTCATACACACTGTCTATGGCATGGCAAATAAGGGTCGAAGTTTATTCATATATTCATACGTCTGTTAACAGGATTAATTCAGCTGACTTTGTGACTTGTTACTAGAGACGGTGAATGCATCTCTCACTGAACTGTGTCTCTGCATGAATTTATAATGGTGTTTTGGCATCCAGGCATATATGTAACTTCTACACTATGATCAAGGGAGCAAAAGTGTTGATTTCAGTCATGGCTTATCAAATGTTGTTGGTAACTACATGGCAACGACACGTCTTGTCTGAATGACGCCAGTGAACGCAAATGATGCTGCGGTCAAACTAACGCGAGGCTAATAATTGCCTTGCGTTGTGTGTGAATGCAATATTACATATGCTTAGTTAAGTTCAAAATAAAGGCTGTGTTAAAAAATGGGAGGTTGGCCCAAAAAGGGTCATGGGCTCCGAAACTTTGAGCCCAGTATGCAGTATGGCCTCTAGTTTCACTGTGGGGGCCCTGGGTGTTTCTCAATGTCGAGGAAGGCTCCTCCAGAGCCACTATTTCAAGGATGCTACGTCATCGAGTCCCGCCGAAGGACTGTTCCAATGTCCAGGATCCTTGTAATTCTACCGAGGCCGGCGTCCTTCGTAGTGGGAAATTTCGAGGCTGCACATTTCGAGTGTATCCTCCGCGTTCTTAAAATCCCCACAATGCTTTGCGCACGGACTCATTTCCAAAATCTTTGGCGGAAATCGCGCTCCATTTAAGGCGGGGCCTGACGCACACCTGCACACCTGTTCCACAATTCTTCGTTTTCCGAGGCTAGTAAGGAGTCTTGCCATCATTGGAGGAAATTATTGAGATGGATGGGGGGGGTGTACTGTGTGCATGTTTGGAGAAAGGTGTCATATTTAGTCAGATCTTGTCACTGGGGGAATTCATAATGATGCCCTTGAAAAACCAACATGCAAATGTGTTAATCACAGAAGAAGCTGGACATGATTGAGGGTTTGAATTTGGAGGGGTTGTTTTTTTCAGTAACATGCTTTACCATCACATAGCCTCTATACTTTATTATCAATTGAGAGAGACTAGNTCTGGAACAAGCTAAACTAGTTATACATATATTTATTCTTCACTGTCGGGTCACTCATTACTGGATTAGTGAACTGCATGAGATACTGACAGGCTGTCAGGAGAGAGAGAGGGAGAGAGCGCTTCCGCTCATCTCTCCCGTGTTATTCTCCAAAGTTAATGTAAACTTGAATAATGTACTTCATTTGAATGAAATAATTATGTTGGTTGTTGTTTGTGGAAGCGCCAGTGAAGGAGCCCCATTAAGTGAGTTTTAAATGGAAGATCCCCATAGGCCCCGCCCACTCGATGCGATCGGTATCGGCCGATACTGATTCCGGCGATCGGCCCCAAAATTGGCGATCGGAGCATCCCTATTGCACAATTTACTTCTTTACTTATTTTTGTAAACATTTAACCTTAAAACTAGATATATTGTACAGGCTACATAACATGGGCTTATTTATGTTCTAAACAAACTAGTTTGCTATGATTGTACAGATGGTTTTCCGCAAAGCCAGTAGATAAGAAGAAGCTGGATACTCATTTTCTCTCCTGTGTTATTCTTTGTGTCCCACTATAGTTCTGGGGAGTTATTCTTAAAACTGGAGCATATGGTGGGAGCTGCTGTCTGGCATGGACTTTATTTGGACTCATTGTCAACGAATACAATTCCCATAGCACCGACTGCTTTTTTTTTCTTCCGTACACAGCATTGGCAAAACCTAAAATACCAGCTTCATTTCTTTTCAGCTTTTTATAATAATGTCTATCCATATTCAACAGGATCTGTTCAGCGCTGGTTAAGCAGGGAAATTGTGTGATATTCTAGAGGGAAAATTTGTACTTGACACAATTGCATACCAAATAATGATCCCGCCAAACAACAAGGCTCTGATTATTCATTGTATGGGGGTCAAATGAAGTGTTGTGAGATTGATGTTTATCCTTGTAATGTATAATACTAAAGCCTCAAGTTATTTTTGTCGACACAGTCAGCACAAGGAGCCCGAAAACAAGCTCCGGGTGTACACCACTTAAAATGTCACAAAGATGTTGTGTGAAGAAAATGAATGTGGCTAGAATACAGAACAAAATGACTGTCTGTGTTTGTCTTTCAGCTGATTAACCAGAAGATCAGAATGTGCACGCAGCTGAACAACTGCAGGTCATTTGTTTCCGTGCTGGAGTACCTCCTCACCGTTGGCAATTACCTCAACGAGAACGCAAGGAAGGAAAAGGCCAAGGGATTTCGCCTCTCCTCCTTAACTAAAGTATGACTACACTGCTGTTGCCTGACCTTTGATGGAGCTGCAGCACAAGGCTAATAAGACTTCTCATTGATATACACAGCAGGGCGACTCTACATCTTCCATCATCTTCCTCTTTTGCTCAGGTTCACTCAGGACTCTTACAGTCTCACTACATGGCATCACAGGAGAAATTAAACTAGGAACAAAGTGGGGCCACTTGGGCTGAATCTCTTACGGCCCGTCCACACTATAGCTTCAAAAAAAGCTTGGAGCTGGGCGTGTCTGAAGCTTGGGGATTTTATTCGAGCACCGCGACCAACAACCAATCACATGAATGTCCCGCCCCCGGCATACAAAGCCAAAACACCCAGGGGATAGGATGCGAGCAATATACATATATATATATAT